TTGCGCTCGCCACGGGGGTAGATGGTCGTCTGGTAGTAGGTGAGCGCGGTCACCGCGACGGCGTGGATGCCAAAGAAGACGTCGTTGACCTGCACCGAGTTGGGCGACCCGTTGTGGAGCGCCTTGTACTCTTCCTGGACCGACTCGCTCCAGAAGAACGACGAGTTGTACACCGTGTAGCACGAGAAGCCGACAATGTTGTACGCGATAAAGTCGATCGAGAGACCTTCGACGTTCTTGAGGCGCCAGTTGAGGAAGATCTGCGGCCAAAAGCTCACGCTCCAGCACGCAAAGTAGGTCCAGCCGATGATGGACGAGATGCGGTTGTACGGCGCGGGCACGTTGTCGTTGGCGTCGAGACCAAAGCCGAGACCAAAGCCGACGACCGCAATGACGGCGACGCCAATCGCGACGCCGTTGCGCTGGACCCATGCCACGGGGCCGCGGATGGACGAGAGCGGCGCTTGCGTCAGCGAAGGAGTCTCTGTGGTGGACATGGCCGATGGGAAAATGAGCGATGGCGAGAACGGTGACGAAATAGCAAGAGCCGTGTACGGTGTGTAGACAGGCGGCGGTCATGGGCGGTGGTGGTCGCGGCCGTGGCGTATACCACCTGTTGCAACATGCGGTATCGCCCGGAAGTCGTGGGAACGTGGGACATACGCGTTGAAGAGCGAATCAAAAGCCAGGGATTGTCCGTGTCATGGCGATCTTGGCCACGCGCGCCTCTGAGTGGGGAAAGGGCCGCGGACTTTGAGATTTTAAACCGCACAAAATGTTCGGTCGTGATCCAAGCGCAGATATCAATGCAATGTGGACAACCTGTCGTTGAGCGTCATCGCGAGTGACGTTTGGAAAGCAACGCGAGGCGTTAGCAGAGTGGGGCCGACGCAGCAGTGTGGGAGCATGACGGGTTGACACGACACACCGTGCCTTCTGATCGCAAGAAGGGTAAACCGCCGTGCGAATGAGGGACCTCAAGTGGGTTATGAGGAACGGTAAGCTGCTGCTTGCCGAACGTTGTAAATCGGTATTGCCTTTGTGCTCCCAGAACCCATTTGCGCATTACCACATACACCGGTGTACCAACTACAGTTCAATGAATACTGTAGCGTCTGATCCGTCGCAGCCAGATAAGAAAGATCCGTAACCGATACCACAAGTCTCCACGACTGATTTAGTCCTCTGCTCTGAAAAAGCGGGCGGATGGGATGGTTCGACTATACAGTAGCCGTGCCCTCTACAGCTCCTCGAACCCGCTTTCGTGATGTCTAGCCCGAGGCCCGCGCGCGTCGAAGAGCGCGTGTACGCAATGCTTCAACAAGAAGACGAGCGTGGCAATGGGACCACGGGAGGATTCCCCCGAGACTCAAAACCGGTTCTACGCAGCGGTCAACCTGCTTGTACTACACGAGTGAGCCGCTACGAATAGACAAAAATATGTCGACTAGCCCCTCCAGTAACTCGCGAGCTCCAAAGTTCAGTTGTTGCGCAAATATCAAAACAAGCTTGTTTGGCGAATTAGACGCGCGGGATCCACGACATGTCGCTTGTCTTGAGCTTTTCGTAGACGTACGATTCGATGCCGTTGCGCTCCTTGTCGTCCTTGCCGAGAACGTACTGGATGTAGAAAAAGTAGTGGTAAAGGTTGTGCTCGGTCTCTGTGTGGCGGCCAAAGTTGTTGAGGAGGCCCTTCTCCATGCCCGCGACTTCGATCGCGTTGCGCGACCGGTTGCACACGAGGCAGCGGTCGCGCTTCATGGCGGCCTTTTGCTCGGACGCTTCGCGCACGGACGTAAAGGCGTCGATGATGATACCTTGGATCATGTTGAGGAAGAGCGTGATGACGATGACGTAGAAGGCCATGTCGTAGACCATGCGCTGAAAGTAGAGCTTGGGCTGGGCGTAATCGAGGTTGTGGCCGAGCGACGACGAGATGTAGTCGTCAAGCCCTCCGCCGGAGAGCAGACCTACAAGTACGGCGGTTACATCTTTTAGATATGACGTGGCACGCCCAGAGCGCACCGTAGCGAATTGTCGTCGTGGAGCACTCGAGCCCGGTCGAGCAATGCGCGACTTGGTCATCGATCGTCATTTCGTCTTGAAGAAGGAAGAAGCCAATGGGCGAGAAAAAGTAGATGACGATCGCGCGAAAACTGCTTGTGACACTGAGTTTGCCAAGGTTGCTGCGCATGGCGGTGGCCTACAGTCCATATCAATATTAACGGCTTGATGCATTTCGTATGGGCGACTGAGCTCATAAGCCGCGATTGATCGATTTTTAGAGGCCCCAGGAGACCACCCCTAATAATTAATATGAGGCCAGGATGCACTTTTGAAGGACGCTGGGGCACATAGAAATGCGCCGTCGAGGCCCGGAGCGCGAGCTCATCAGGGTTGGTGTGGTGCCACGTCACAAAGGCGGCCCGCGGCACCATGACAGCACGTAGGTCATTTCAAACGAAAGTGAGCGATAGCATACTGAATTATTCATGGGGTATAGCTAGTAGACGACTGCATTCGAGGATCGCTTTCTCAAATACGACTGCATTCGAGGATCGCTTTCTCAAATACCGTTCTATTGTGCCCGTTCTTGAAATGGTTGGCCTTGTAGAACTTGTGCATTCCTTGGCGTCGTTCGTGCGGTGAGCACGATTTGGGTGGTTGCAGAGAGGGCACGATAAAGCTCATGAGGCTGGTGGTCGCATAGACACCCACACAAGCGCTCTGCATGGGCGCTACTTCAACGAGCGCTTGGTCGTAGTCCGTGCCTAAAGCAGCTTCATACTCGCTACGGGTCGCATTAGTGTTGCTGCTCGTGGCACTTTCCGGCTTGACTCCGAGACGGGGCGCGGGCGCGCTTGCTTCGGCGAGAGCGGCCAAGCACCGGAGGAGCGGCAAGAACGAGTTCAGCGACGGCAGCGGCGCCGACGGCGGCAAGTACGGGCGGTCGTAGTCGTGCTGGACCATCGAGCTGGACGCGGCCGCGAGCAATTGGCCAAGCGGCGGAAGGACGCCATAAAGCACGGGCAGCGGGATCTGCGACCGCTCCTTCTTCGTGCTCGACTCGACCTGCTTGGTGTGACGGCAGCAGTAGCCGCCCGTGCACGCGTGCACCTTGCTGCTGCTTTCGACGCGGCACTTGCAGCCGCCGCCGTGGCGGACGCACTTTTGCTTGGCGTGCGCCATCTTGGTACAGCCTTCCTCGATGTACTGCTTCTTCGTGTTGCTGGCGTCGTGGCGGGAGCAAAAGTTGCCGACGCGCGCGTTCGTGACGCAGCCCTCGTACTGACGTTTTTCCATTCATGTTGTAGAAATGGACAGTCGACGGGCGCGGCATACGCGTCCTCTACTGCATTGATGCTGTCCATATATATGAAGGTGTTTCGCGTTATCTTCGTTGTTACAAAGAGTTCGCATACCGGTACGTAGAGAGTAGCACTTCACTTCTTCTTCATTCGCTCGCTGGGCCGTGGCTGCGCAGGTAGCGGCGCGGGGGCTCGTCTTGCTCTTCTGTAGTCGCCCGGGGGCGCTTGCGGCCGCGGGGAAAGCCCATGACGACACGCTGCGTGAAGGCCTTTCAGGCTTTGCCGTCGGCGGCAAAGCTACGCAGTTTGTCGAGGTCCTTGAGAGACGCCAGCGACTGAGGCAGCGTCAACGACTGGAGGTCGCGGTGCAGGACGATCAACAACGTGATCTTGGTGCGGCCTAAAATGGGGCGCCTCGGGCTCGGCAAAGAAGCGGGCGGTGGCAATGTTGGCAGGGACGTCTTCACTCATGCGCAGCACGTGGCCCAGCAGGCACTAGCGCTGGCGGGCAACGATCTCGCTCAGCGGGGCGCTGTCGCAGCGGTCGTAGAGCGCTACGTCGCCGAGATGCTGTCCATAGATGATAATATGCAAAGCGAGCTGTTCGTACTTACCGGTGCTTATCGGGTGCGAAAGGCAGTTGGCTTGGAGATGCACGTGAGGATGAGCGAGGCTCTGCAGCCTCCACGGCGTTGGGACCTTGGTCTTGCGCCCGTGGAGCGTCTGGTCCCGCGACGTGAACACCTTGAGGTACATTGCGAAGGTCTTCGCCTTGTCCAGTCAAGGATGCAATAATGGTGGCGGCGGCAAGCGTACACATGTCGATGGTCACGGACAAGCTCGCATCCTATGCGCCGTCAGACGTACTGGTACCTGAGCGCCGAATTGCAGTACGACTTGCGCTGCTTAGGGTTGAAGCACGCGCCACACCTTTTTGATATTGCTCTTGTCGACGCGTGGCCCGTCGCTATGTGATCGCTTGGTCGCGACGCGCATCGCAGCTACGATTGGCTTCTGGCCAGGGGCTCTATCGCGCCATCTGTTGCATGCTCTGTCGCGCGCACTTGACGCCATCACTAGTTTTAGCCAATCAACTCCTTTCTTATAGACCTTAACGCCACTACTGGTCGAAATGCACAAAATCCACAGCTTTTCGATGATTCATGTATATGATTGGTGAAAATGCATCGCTGGTATCACAGGCCGCGAACTGGGCCGCACCACCGCGTTTTTATTGCACCGGATAACCTCCATCTTCTTTTACCTCTCTTTTTGTATCCTGTGTACGTAAAATTTCAGATCCCCATTTTACGTACATCGAGCCATATTAACTCCTTTAGTCGTAGGAGCTTACGATAAAGCTGAGGCGGGAGTTGTTTTCGAGAATGTCGGGGAATGGAAAGCCGTAAAGGAGATAGGTTTACGCGAACGGCTGCAGCGCTAGCACCGCACAGAGCGTGTACGCGCAAATGAGCAGCACAGCGCCCGCGAAAAACGCGTCGTACAGAACGCATTGCCAACACATGACGCTGGAAGCCAGGACACGCATCTTGCGGTCTGTGTCGGTGTCGGCCACGAGCGTGCGATGCGTCTCCATCGCCTTTCGCAGCGCAGCAAAGAAAGACGTCGCGGCCTCAAGATATGCGCCGGATCCGAGCACTTGGGTCGCGCGATCGTCCGTTGAGTACAAGAAGACGATGATCGAAAACGTCAATATTAAGAGCTCGAACGCCATACAACAATGAGACGATACAAGAGTGTATCGCGAGAGCTTGTACGCAGCAGGAACACGACATGACCAAACATGGTCCCCAATGACGTGGGACGGACTCAGCTGGAGCTTGGCGAGTGTAGTGTGGTGCTTGGCTAAAGCAGAACGTGTTTGGACCCAGTGGAACGCCCAGAGAAGTGTCATGAGGACGAGCTCTCGACCGGCGGGAGGAAGCTCACGATGGGGTCCGCGACGCCAAGCTTGACGGCCTTGCGCTGCACATCCCGTCACTTATTGAGCGCGTACAGGAAAGCGCGCCTTGTGCTCTAACTCTGCTTGGAACGGCCGGCCCCAGAACGAGACCGGCGCAGTCGATTAGTTCTCGATCGCACTTACGTGGTGCGCTTCTCGCGCAGGAGCCGAATGAGCGTGTCGAACTCCAGGAGCAGATAGTTGATGGCCCAGATGCCTGGTGACGCCGACCTGCTGCTGCCAACGTCCCAGAGGTGCGCCGTGTGACCTGACGGCGCGGCCGACGGGCGTTTGGATGGAGTCCTCGGGCGCCGCTTCGTCGACCGATTTCGGGTGCGTGCCGTACAATGCCCGCGTCGACGACGACGACGAGAGCGCCAGGAGCGTCGGCGGATGACTGCCGCTGTTGAACGACATGGCGAAGGGCCTAGCTGCGCGCGTTCTTGATGTGGTTTGCGGCCTTTTGTGATTGGGCATCTCGGTGGATCCAAGGCTCTGATTGGCGCGCGCTGTATCGCAGCAAGAGAACAGCCGCCACCGCATGGACGGCGCGAACGGCAATTGGCATGGCATTGCCGTCGATCGTACAGCTGGAGACGACTAGAATAGACATGAACTAAATGACTGGAGTTGACTCGCTATCAACGCGATCTGCGGACTTTGCAGTTTTGTTCGCCAGCGGTCACGCCAACCTCGCACTAGGCGCGACTTTTGACATGCATCCGGATAATCGGGCGTCAGATGGCGGGATCGCATGTTCTTGTTTATATTCGACTCGTATTGTTACCTCGTATGTTGTATGGAATTAAAATAATGCCACGTTCGCGACGCAGCTGCGGTCTTATCCAAGCGAATTCCGTGGCGCCCTTTTCTAGTATCCGGAGGGTCGACGTCGGTCTTTTTATTGACAGATTTTAATCCCAATACAAACATCGAGTACAACATGCAAAAAATTGCGTTGGATGGGCTCGGTGGCATATCATCTTGGCGCACCAGCTGCCTTGGCTCACTTTCCCTTTGGCCATGGCATCGTCTAACGTCGAGATGATCGACCGCCGAGACTACACTCCGATCGCCGGCAGCACGCCCGTGTCCGGCGGCCTCTTCCACCTCCCGCCGCCCAGCGCCCTCGCCGCGCTCGTCCAGCGCATCAAGGCCGACGTGCCGCACGCAGCTGAAGCGATCGACGAGCTCACGCGCGTGCTCGCGGCGCCGCGCCTTCAAGTCGAATCGCTCGGCGGGTCCAAGCCCATCAAGCACTGGCGCGTGTCTTACACGCAAGAGCGCAACACCAAGCTGACCATGTATGCGAAGGAAGCGTGGCGTGAGTCCCACGACGACGCGGTCAAGGCCGAGGTCGCCGACCTCGTCGCGATCCTCGTCGCCGAGCCCGCGCACCACGACGCGACACTGCGACTCCTGTACGAGTTTGTCGCGGGTGGCTTTGGGTTTGTCCAGAGCGCCTTGTACTTTGCGATCAGCGACGCGCCAGGTCCGTTCCTCACCTTTCTCTCGTCCCATCTCGTGGCCAAGTCGCCGCTCATTTTGAGCGTGCTGCAGCAGCTCTGCGAGAACCACCACGCGCAGTGGCAAAGCCTCATGCATATCGACGGGACATCGTCGTGCCTCCTCCGCGCCTGCGATCTGCTGGCGGCGCTCACATCCGAGCCGCGCGTGCTCAACCTCGAGAACGTCCACATGCTCTGCGATGTGCTCATGTTTCTCAGCGAGGCGTGCCAAGGTCCTTGCGCGCAGAACCAAGACCAGCTTCTCACGACGCGCGCCGTCGCGATCGCGGCCGGCATTGTTCTCTCGTCCCGCAAGGCGCCCGAGGCGTTTGACGACGCGGTGCCGACGAAGCTCCAGATCACGCTGCAGCACCACGCGAGCGATTTGCTGCTCGCGCTGCTCGAAGGCCGGTCGGACGCCCGGGTTCACAAGGCGCTCGTCGACGTCTTTCCAATCCAGAAGGTCATGACGCACTTTACGAGCAGCTTCCGCGCCATCAACGAGAAGCTCGGCGCCAAGCGGCACCACTTTTTTTCACCCTTGAAGCTCCTCGAGATGGCCCACTTTGCGCGGATCTCGCCCGATGCACTCATGCGCGCGATGCCCGAGTACAAGGGCGCGATCAACCTCTTGCGCATCGTCAAGAACATGCTGCACCTCGACGAAGCGATTGCGCCCGACACTGCGTGGCTCGAGTTTGCATCCAAGTGGCGCGACTTCAAGCCAACGCGACCGTGAAGGAGGCGCTCTCGTACTTTGAAGCGCAAATGGTGTCGGTTGAGGTGACGCGCGGTGGGTCGACGTACACCGTGTACTTTCTCCAGCCCAAGGTCGCCAAGCTTTTCAATGACGAGCTCCGTACCCGGCTCTTGGACGCCATGGACATTGGCACGGAGCAAGCGCTCAACGTGCTTGTCTCGGAGGCTGCCACGTATGTGCTCGATATTCTATTTTTAGAAATTTCGAACCCATTTGGATCGTGTAGGGACGTGGTCGACGAGCTCAACGTGATGAAGTACCTTAGCAAGAACCAGTTTTACTCGACCATGAGCAAGTGGGCGCCGTGGCTCCGCGCCAATATGCTACGCGTGTGCTTTTACATCAACTTTGTGATGCTTTTGAGCGTCGACCTCAACGACATGCCGGCCGTCGGCCTTCCCACGAGCGTTGTGCCCAAGGACGATGCCAAGCTCGTACTACTACGTTCGAATTTGTACCGACGATGTTGACGCGTGACGTAGGCGCCGTACTTTATCTCGATGCTTGGCTTTGTGCTGCTGCTTATGGCGACCACGCTGTGGCTCTACTACGCCTTCTCGGCCTTTTGCTTCAACTACGCCAAGCAGCAAGTGTCGTCGTTGACCAAGCTCACGCTTTTGCCGGGCGCGACGATCCGCCAAACGATGCTCGACGCGTTCGCCCGTCCGCTCTTTTACTTTGGTATGCCAATCTCTCGAACCGCGTGTGCTCAAAGAGGAGACATGTATGTAGAGCTCTTCCTCGCACTCTTCCTCGTCGTCTTCTACCTCAAGATGGACACGGGCGTCATCCAGAGCTGCATTTTGGCGGCGCTCATGTGGCTCGTCTACAGCCTCCTTGCCGCGCTCCGTGTCGTGTCGGGCCAAATTCGGTTTGTTGTCAACGCAGACGCAAGCGACGTCACGTCGACAGTCACGAGCATGCTCACGTTCATCTACAACGTGCTCTTTGACACGGCGTTTACAGACACGGTGCTGCTCATGGGCACTTACGCGCTTTGCTTCCTCCTCGGCGTCGGTCTCTCGATGCCGTGGATGGCCTCGCTCGTCTCGACCGGTCCGTGGGGCCTCGTCTTCTTTGGCTTCCCGCTCGTCGACATTCTCGCGACCAATGAAAAGCTGCGCTTCATCGTAAGGACTGCTGCGATACCTCAACAATGGCTGATACAACTATGCATCAGGCGCAAGCGATGCGCAGCAACTTTGGCAAGCTCGGGGTCACGGCCATTTTTGGCGCGATCGTCATCTACATCTTCTCGCTCATCGGCTTTTCTTTCTCCAAGCCGAGATGACGAGCGACGACGACGGGTCGCTCTGCTCGACCTTGCTCGAGTGCTACGCGTCGTACATTCGCTACGGTACGCACACACAATGCCATCGACATGCATTGTCTTATTTCGCATAATCGATGATTAGGGTTGCTGGCGGGCGGCGGCATTGGCGACTACATGTCGTCGTCGCTCGGCCACAACCTCGATTACGCCCAGCCCAAGCTCTACTTTCAGCGCATGGTCTACGACATGGCCTTCTACGTCATTGTCATCACGCTCTTCCTCAACATGATCCAAGGTATCATCATCGACGCCTTCACGTCCGTGCGCGAAGCGTCCGAGCAAAAGGCCGCCATGAAGCGCGACCGCTGCCTCGTGTGCAACCGGTCGCGCAACGCGATCGAAGTCGCGGGCATGGAGAAGGGCCTCCTCAACAACTTTGGCCGCCACACAGAGACCGAGCACAACCTTTACCACTACTTTTTCTACATCCAGTACGTTCTCGGCAAGGACGACAAGGAGCGCAACGGCATCGAATCGTACGTCTACGAAAAGCTCAAGACAAGCGACATGTCGTGGATCCCGCGCGTCTAATTGGACTCTTGCAATACATGTGCATACAAGCGCCACGTCTGTTTTATGGAGAATATTGTCGACGACGCGTCGCACAACTCGACTAAGAACTCATTGGCGACTCTAGAAGAAGGCAGTCAAAGAAGGGTTGTTGCGTGGGGTGCGCACTGTAAAAGGGGTATACGTGCGACGTCATGGATGCCTGCTGCGATGTACCGCGACAACAAGCGCTTGGTGCTTGGTGGACCCGTGGGTGGGTGGCCCCAAGAGCACGAACTGACCGTATCCCAGCTCCACGACTACTGTACATAGTACATCACTTTTCGATCGCGATGGCATCGACGGCATGAGGCACTCGACTGTCGTCAATCGCATGACTCTATTATTTCTCTAATGCAGCTCTCTAAAAGAACTTGTTGATGTACACGATCGTGGTCATGAGCACGAGCCACGTGACGCTGTAGTTCCAGAACCACAGCGCGTGGAGGAGACCCGCAATGACCGCGAGCACGACCATCAGCGACTTGAAGAAGAGCGGGCGCGACGACGGAAGGCACGTCGCGACCGGCTTGTCAAACGTCCCGTCGTGCTTGGCGTAAAACTGACTGAGAAGCTCTTCCTTGGCCGCAAAGCGCTCGTACAACCACGTGTCGGTCGACTCGGCCGCCATGACGTCGTCGAGCGTGAACCGGCGCACGTGGAAATGCACGGCCGACGGAAACTGGCCAAAGAGCATGCGCAGTGGCGACGGGCGAACACCCGACCGGAGCTCCGGGTACGCCATCGTCATGTCGAGGACATAGGTCGGGCGGAACTTGTCAATACACAGCGCAAAGCCCTTGAGGCGCGGCTCGAGAACGTAGTTGAACGGCGTGCGCCCCTTGGATGTGGCAAACGCCTGTGACTCGGCAAACGTCTTGGCGTACAGCGCCGTGCCTTCGGGGAACATGGCCAGCCACGTGCCCCACGGCCGTGCGTGGTACGAGTCGATGATGCGACCAAGGCTGTCCTGGTCTTCGGCCCAGTTGCGCTGAACGAATGGGAACTTGAGAATGTTAAGTGCCCACCTAGGCTTGCGTTGGAGACAGGCCAGAGCCGACATGGCCGTATGTACCCGATAAGCGGGACGTTCTTCAGGCCGGCTTTGAGCATGGTCATGATGCGATCGTGGCGGCCAATCTTCATGGCAAAGTTCCTAATGCAGCAGTAGTCGTGAGGTGCTATGAGCGAAGCGAGGTCGCACCAGTGGAGGAGCCAGTCGATTTCCGTGCGGTGGTTGGAGATGAGCAAAATACGATCGCTGTCGTTGAACGCAAACGTCTCGCCGTCTTCGCCGGTAACGACGACTTCCATGCCACCGAGGTGCTCGAGGATGCCCGAGACTGTGGCGCAGAAGAGTCCCAGCACGACGCGGTAGATGTGCTCGGCGACCGTCGGGCACGTCCACGATAGCAGCAGCAGCGTAGGCACGACGATGTAGAAGCCAAAGCCGAGCGTCATGAGGATGATGATCACGACGTACATGGCGCCGGCGACCTTGCCCGGCAGCGTTGGCGCGGCCTCGTACTGCGGGCCCGGGAAGATGGCCTTGGGGCCGGTCTTGGCGTCGGCCATGGTAGCGAAAATGGGCAATGACCCATCCCGCTAAGCACGCTTGAAATGAGCCAATCAACGTGCGGTATGTGCTACAGGCTTCTTCTTTTTGACCAATCAAGGCGAGCAGACTGGTGTTCGAATTGGTAAGACTAATTCCGTGCGAAAGCGACAGCAATCGCCGGAGATTCAATCGATACGACGACAAGAGGTGTGGCATACGAGTATGCTACAGCAAGGCGTCTACGAGCAATCTCGCTGGCTTGTCAAGTCGGCCACTGCACAAGACGCTCGCAAGCAGTGGCTAGCAAAGACGTCGTTGTGACGTCATCGTCAGACGGGATTGACATGGCCAGATCAGCCACCGTTGAAGCGACACTGCGGGAGGAGTGTTGGCCATGTCAAAATATATGCATTGACATCACGCTTCATACACATGCAACGTCAGAACGTGATATCGAGGTATCGAGATTTTCAATTTCAACAAACCAAATGTCTTTTCGACGCAGAGGCTGTGGTGCGGCATTGAGTGCGGCCAAGAACGAACGGACCCATGATGTCTCTACTCCACCTCGCCGTTTCAAAATGGACGACGAGCGTTGTGAAATCCACGGGACCGATGCCATGCAAAACGGTGCGCTTCTCGCCGTGTGGATCGCCACAGGCAGACGACCCTTTTCGACGAGACTCTTGTCAATCTTCCAAAATCGATGAATGCACACTATTTGCGTTCAAGCGACATCGCGCGTCAACATTGTCGCGCTATGATTGGTTGAAACGCCACCGATTATCCTCCAATCTACGCTCGGTAAGAATATCATGTTTCACAAGATGTCTGTTGCGTAGCGCCAGCGCCGCTGTTAATTTTATTGTAGCACCCAGCTCATACAAATGCCAAGTTTGTTTCCAGCGCGGAGCTTCGAATCCGTGTATTTTTATTCAAACCTCCCAGAATGCATACTTGCCGGCCGCGGATTGGTCCATTTCGGTCGCATCGGGCCATTTCCGAACGCGACGCCTGGCAGATACCCGAGCTATGAACCGCAACGTGCGAGGGGACAATGTAGAGTTCACGGTCAAGGTAGATGCATGGCTCCATGGACCTGGATGGACATGCAGCGCTAGGCCGTGGAAGACCTGGTTCTCTCGGGCACGGAGCGCTCCGTGGTCCGCGTCCCGGCCAACAACATGTACTCGTGCTTGATGCAGAAGACCCAGCGCTTCTCGTCGCTCTTCCGCCACTACAGCAAGCACCATGGCCTGCCCCGGGAGTCGCTGGACTTTTGCTTTATGGTAGCCTTCCTGCATGGGACGCATGGCGCCGACGCCTGCCTGTTTAGAACCTCCTCAGCCTCGAAGATTCGCCCGAGTCGGTGCACCTGCAAAAGGTACAGACCACAGCTATGCATGCCTGGACTAACAACGCCGACCGTGTGCAGAACGACGTGATACACGTTCGCCACCGCCGCCCGCTGGCCATCGTACCACCACCTCGCCTGTCGGACGAAGAGTACTTTACGTCGATGCGTCGCCTCCTCGAGGTACGCTTTGGCTGCCTGTATCCATGGGATTTATAGTGAGGCGTGCAGAGTGGCGACAATAGCGATGTGGTGTTGCGGGTTGGGGCGGACGCCAAGGAGCTGCGCGGCCACAAGCTCATTTTGACGACGCGCTGCGAAGTCTTTAACGCGATGCTTAGATCAGACTCGATGCGGGAAAGCGAAAACGGCGTTGTGGTCTTGCGAGACGATTGCCCGGACATGGTCCGCCGGCTCCTCGAATTCATCTACACGAACCGGATCGCCGACCTAGCCATGCTCACCGCGACGGTACGACGACATGTTCCATGGTCTGTCGTCTCACGCCATGCGATACAGCAACTCATTGACCTTCTCGCACTCGCCGAACAGTACCTCTTGCGCACGATGAAGGAACTCTGTGAAGCCGCGGCCGTCGAACTCATCTCGAACGACCACTGCGCCAAGCTCCTCAGCGCCGCCGAGCGCTACAACGCGCAGTTCCTCAAGGACTCGTGCGTCAAGCACATTGTCGAAAACATGCAAGACGTTGTCGACGAAGACGCCTTTTGCCACGAAATCCAGCAGTGCCCATCGCTCGCGATCATCATCATGAAGGCCCACAGCGCCCACAGCACGTCCTTCTCGCCCGAGCCCGCGGCCAAGCGGCGACGCTTCAACATGCCCAACGAAGAGTCCGACTACGAGTGAAGCGCGGGCTGTGTTTGTATTTAATGTCCACAAACGTACATGCGACGACGCCTTAAGTGTGTCCTAGCACGTCGCGGGCCTGAGATGTGGCGGAGACTCGCGGAAGCAGCAGTAGCCAGCCGCTGTCGATCGATGTACAATGCAATCTCTGCCCGCCTGTCCCGGGACGTGCGACACGCAAGGACCGAGCGTCCACGGGGCGGTCTGAGTCTCGGCGCGTCCTCAGGTTCTCGTCGTCTTGCGATGTCAGACAACTTTGACCAACTTGTGACGGACGCTTCGCGAGAGACGAGTCGCAACCAAGTGTCATGAGGACGTGCAGCGTATTTAAGTTAACAGTAATGAGAGAGAAGCGTAAAGAGGGCGAAGGAACCGACGACACAACGGAGAGGTGGTGCGCTAGTCGTCGAGGAAGAACTCGAGCATCGCGAGGTCGTGGCCGCGTACGGGTCCGTTGTTGGTCGGCGTGAGGCTCGGCAGCGGCGCGCGCGGGCTCCACTCGGGCGCGAAGAAGCTCGAGTGCGAGAGGAGGCTCGTAAACTCGTTCGAGTACTGCATCGTGGTGGGCGCCGACGAGCTGTTTGTCGAGCCGGTCGCGATGCCATCTTTTGTCCGCCAAACATTCACGCGCGGGAGCGTGAGGGCTGAGAGGTGCGGCAGTGCGCCGTCATGGTGCAGACTGTGGTGGTGGTGCGGCTGCTGATGATGGTGGTGGTGCTGGTGGTCCCACGAGCTGAGCTTCTTGACCGGGTACGCCTCCATGGACGTCGTGACATCGAGCGCGCTGCGCTTGAACTTGCGCCGGAGCGCGCTCTCGTCGCTCGAGTAGTCGTCGTGGGACGACGACGACGACGCCGACGACGACGACTTGATCTTGGCCTCGAGGCGGCGCGTCATGCGCATGGCGCTCTGCTTGCGGTCGCTACGCTTCTTGATCTCGTTTTGCTTGCGCCGGTGGAGCTCGCAGAGCATGAGAAGCTTGCCGTTCTTCTTGGTCGTGCGCATGTTGGTGCATGTGCCCGTCTTGTACTGGCACTTCATCTCGGGCGACGCGGCCTGCGGCGGCGGCGACATCTTGGTGAGGAGCGACGTCAAGTCGGAGCGCGGGTACGTGCGGGGCACATCGTCTTCCGACGTCATCGAGGCCGTCGGGCTGCTGCATGCGGTGCCAATGAGGTGCCGGAACGACGTGGCCGCGGTCGGAAGGTTGAACATGGTGGTGGTACTTGTCCAGGACGGCGCAGGTTGAGATCTGAGGTGTAAGAGATGCATCGCGCGACGAGTCCGTTTCGGTAGAGTTCAGATCTTTCCATTTCCCGTTCGAGCTTGGGGCCGGCAAATAAGGCTCCCAGAAGTAGTAGCCTCTCCGCCCAGATTGCACTTGCCGTTTGTATGCAAACTGAGAACCTGGCGCCATCCAAACGCTTGACTAGACGTTGGACCATGCGCCCATATTCAACACCGGAAGATTCCTGGCTTGAAGCATGTATCGAATATGCTTGTGGACCCACGTGAGCTTGAGCGCGTTGTCCGTCGTGGGGGTATGTGGGCGTGTGGCCAGTCGAGGTTGATTCGATCGTCGCCGGCCCTGCTTCGACTTTTGCCGTGGAAGGTCGTCGCCACCGTTATCACAGCGCTACTCACGACGTGTGCCACACTACATTGGCAAGGAGGTTTCCTTGCCGCTGGTTCGGCGAGATGGGAAATGTGGTATCTTGCCAGATGTGCACCTACGCTTCTGCGCAAGAGCGTTCTGAAGGTCATCATCAGCACCGTTTGAAGTACTAGTACAGTGCTTGCGAGCGACAGTGCCCCCTTGCCCTTGGTTTCTGTCCCAGATACATGGCGTGTGTATCGGTAGCCCTTGTCGTCCCGGTGACAGAGGCCGCTTATATATCTCAAGACATACAGCGACGAGGAAGCCACGCTTGCAGAAAAAGAAGACGTGTCGATCTCACCGCCACCCACCATCACTTGCGTCCACGCCGCACGGTGGCACCGCAAAGGTAGAAACTGACTTTTCTTCCGAGCTCACGACCAAGAAGGGTCGTCACTCGATGGGACGCCATCATCATCGTCATCATCCTGCCGGTGTATGCGTCTTGCCCCGAGGTGCAGTGGCCAGAGGTGGCACTGCGTGATTTTCCGTCGACAACCTTGTGCCACGTCGCAACCCGCAGAGATAGCGAAATCAACGTACTCAGATCCGTGGCGTCACGGAAGAAACGGCTCTTTGGTTCCCCTAGACCCTAGTCACGGCGCAACGGGCGGCGCAGAACGCGCGATGCAACACAGCGGCTGCTCCAAAGTCAAACCTGGTTCTAAACTAGCTCTTTATATTTATATATATAGACACGACGACCACACACGAGACAATTACGCGTCGGACGACGAGCAGCCATTGCCGCCCGCGATCCGGAGGCAGTACGTCGACGCGAAGAACGAGAGCGCGTTCGTCACGAGGGCGTAAATGAGCACGAGGATGAAGCCCACGATGGTGACAGCCCCTCCGATCGAACTCGACTCGCCGCGGCGCTTGAGCAGCTGCACGTGGCCCTTCTGACGCGGCAGGAGCACGAGGAAGACGAGTGCAGCCAGCTTGACTGTGTACGAAATGAGGAAACAGTACGTCGCTTGCCAGCGCACGGTCGTGTCGTCGCGCCGAAGGTCGTCCCGCGAGACATCGAAAAACGAGTCGACCGTCTTGTACAAGACTGGCCCGAAGAGGTATCCGAGGTTGGAGACGGACGACGTGAGCGAGTAGATGAGCCCTTCGTTGCCAATGTCGGCAATCTCGACGCTGGCGTACGCCGAGAAGAGGAAAGGAACGTTCATTGGCTGGTCCATGAGCATCGTGCCGGTGAGGAACGCATACTGGTTGCGGTTGACGCCCCAAACACACGTGAGCTGGACGAGCGCGCGCATGGCGACCCAGAGAATGGTCGACCAAACGATCGACGAGCGCCAGTCCCAGTGCAGCGCGTACTTGCCGAGGGCCCACATCGTGAGCGGGCCAAAGAGACCACCGACGAGCGAGAAGAGCTGCATGTTGAGCGACTCGGCTCGCACCCAATCGGACGTCATCGGGCTGCTCACGGTCTCGTCAAAAACGAAAAGACGTTGCTGAGAAAGTTGTAGGCGCAGAATTGGTACATGACGCGGAGCTGCACGAGCTGCCAAAAGCCGCGAAAGTAGTGCCGCAGCGAAACCCGCTCGACGCGGACTTCGACCATCCACCAGATCGAGGCCGCGAGCCCAATCAACGACGGCACGACGAGGATGCCATAGACGACCGACGGCGTGATCGACCAGTCGAACGACCCGCCGTACTCGTACGAGTTCATGCAAAAGCCCACGAGCAGCGACGGGATTTGCCGGAACGAGTCGCGGACCACGTAGCACGTGGTCTGAATCCGCCCACGCTGCGCGATGGGCTCCCGCTGCGCGTACTGCACGACCATCGCATCGGACGAGACCGCGACCATGACCGAGCCCACGGTCGCCAGCGTCGAGAGCAAGATGAAGAGGCCGCCGCTGTTGGGCGCGTTCGCGTTGATGTAGTCGGCCTTGTCTTGCGCCGAGATGTTGGCGAGCGGGAGTCCGTCGAGGTCTTTGCGGCCATAGTACGGCGCCGGGAAGGACGTGGCCGCCATGAGCCCGCAGCTCGCGGCGCAGAGGATCCACCCGATCATCATGTACGACCGGCGCTGGTAGCCATTGATGGGAAAGCAGTCGGAGATGATGCCCATAAAGATCTTGAGACTCCATGGCAGACTCATGAGCGCCGAGTACGACGCCACTTGGTACCCTTGCATCTGCAGGTAGACGTTGTAGAGAGGGTAGGCCAAGGCCGGGAGCGTCCCGAGGATGAGCCCGATGCCCGCATACTGCGTAAACAGCCCGAGGGCTTCGGAACTGAGGAGGTGGATGGCACCACCTTCACGGAGCGCGCCGTCACCTCTCTTGTCGAGCATGCTCTCGTCGTAGTGCGTCGAGCTGTCGTGGAAGACGGTGTAGTCATCGAGCTGCTTCTCGTCAAAGAGCCAGACCTTATTGGTCGTCGTGTCGGACGCCTTGCTCGCCGTGCTGCTGTTGGCGCTGCTGGCCATGCTCTGCGGGGTGTGGCGCAAAAGGAAGACTGGCACCCGAGAAAATAATAAGTGGCGCAGTGTTGTACGTCAGAACGACGCCAGCTGGGTCGCGGCAACATTGGGTAAAGCCACCCAGGGTGGCCGCTCGGAAACACAAATCTGGTGCGAGACTGCAAAAGAACATCCTGGATGCCGCGGTGTTGCGTCCACCTCCGCCGCTAGAGGACGTATCATCATCACCGCGGCTTCGAGTCCATGGATGCGCAGTTACTACATCGAATTACCATCGGTTCAAACCGCGGCGACGCTGAAAACGAACGCCACGCGCGCGGGTGGTTGTGAATTCCCTTAAAAAGTGCGCTCACCCGCTTCTACGTGCGAGGCGACCACTGCGGCCATTCGCGATAGACAGTGCACGAGATGACTAACCCAGCATGCGGGATTGTACTTGCATGAGCGAATTGGAAAACGGCAAAGTACACCTCGGACCACGCTACGCAACTAGAAAAACACTCTCTTTAGACTGTCCCGTGCCAGTACACTGTACCAGCAGCTAACCACGCACCCACTGCTGCTGTGAATGGGTCTTGCAAAGAAGGAGCACGTGCCACGTATGACTCGACGGCGGCGACGAGTAGCCACAAGTGACGTTCAAATATTGAAGCGGACGCGACATCAGGACAGGCGACACCGTCCCATCCATAACGATGTACTAGGAACGTCGTCCTCCCATCGCTTCTTCCGCCGCCGCGGCCTTGCGTGGCTTTGTGCGCCAAGTGATCGAGGCAGCTGGACATCTACAGCTGCCACAGCCACGAGATTCAGCTCAAATTTCGCGGCCGCCACGTGAGCAGGACGCAAGACGTTGGTGTCTATGCAGACTGCAACCATGCTATGACGATGGATAGCACGGGTGCTTGACAAGCGAGTAGCGCGCTGTGGCGTTGCACCCACTACCTATCCCATGCATGTTAGTCTTGTGGTCAAGATGCACGCAATATCGATGTCGTACCGCAAGAGGGTCCAAACAGTTTGCGTAAATTATAGCGAAACACACTCACTTCAACGAGTGTCCAGACAATGGTCCAAGTGCCGGCCATGAATGCGCTGGAGCCGCTCCCGCCCGCTGGCTGCGCGGTGCGTAATGCAAGCTGTCATGTTGTTGCCCTCGCGCATATTGTACATGTAGTACGTAGTACTCCAATCCCATCCTTGCATCCTTTCCCCCGCGAGGATATCGGCGTGTAGCCATCGTTGAGAATGGTCGAGTACAGAGGCAGCGCGTGCAGCAGAGGCCAACGCTATGCGCAAAGCCTTCTCGCTCTGAAAAGATCAACGCCGAACGAAACCCGAGCGTTCGAGAGAAACATCATCTCAGTGGTCGTAGACAGCATTGAGGAACCGTCATTCCAAGTGCCATCTCGTCGTGGAGGCGTGATAGTCCTTCTCGCGTTGTCGTCTTCGTCACTGGCACGCGCTGTTGACTCGCGAGCAAGCCATACTAATATATTTCGAAGGACGATCCATCATTCCACTGAAAACATCTGGCACGCTGCCAGCCGTCCATTCTTCCGCCCACGATCTGGCTCCAGTGGCACTTTGAAATGAACTTTGTGTTTGGCTTGTAAAGTCAAGCGAACCTAATTCATCGCATGGAACAAGAAAAGTACTGACTCGGGAAGACGGCTGATTCTGGTTCGGCGGTGTGGGCGCAAGGATCGCCCAACGACTTGGTCGCGACCCTCTTCGTCTCCATTCCACCGCACACAAACGAGCTACGAGAGCGCATTGCGTATGCGAATGTGGTAAACGTCTATGTGTACCGGTAGTCAGTCGATCGCGATTACGGACGGACTTGATTTCAGTGCGCGTCAACAGTGATAGGCGCAGCGCACCGACCAGGTTTGTATGCCGGCAAGCTACTCGAGCGACGCGTACGTGCAAGCAATAAAGAGTCAAGTGCCTAGGTGGGGTACTGTGTAAAGTGGCGCGCGCACAGATGGCTGATCGCTCCCAAGGCGCCTATCGTCTTCCTCGACCGGCGGCTTCTTCCATGGTCCATGCCACGCCCGTTGTACTGGGAGTAGCCTCCTTGGGTTGCACCTTCTGGCTCGGAGAGGTGATAGTCGAATTTGCTGCTCCCTTCTGACGCCAGATTGCTGACGCCATCGGCACCAACACCCCTCCCACGCATGCCTCGTCGTCCGAGTCGATCAGGACGTGTCTCTCCATCACAAAGACTGGTGGCATGGGGAGGAAATCACGTCCTCTCGACGAACGAGGTCGCAACCCGTCGCGTGCATGCCTTCGCAGACAACGACGACACGGATCCATGGGAGCTACGATCAACGTTTCGACGATGCAGAGAGTTCGATCGCGATATCGCCCGAGCAGTGTCGTGGTATTCTGTTCTGTTTCCCACGTCCCTCCATTTCCAACGCCGACCACCCTGGTCGCATGAGCTGCGGATGCTGCTATGCGTCTGGTCCCAAAAGCTGGTTCTGCGATGCACTGTTGTGGTGGCAGCCAAGAACGTTCTCGCACGCTGTACAAATGGTCTCTGGATATCAACGCGGTTAGGTCACGTCACTTGGTGCGGCGACACGGCGCGTTGCAGCCGCTCGATCTGCTCCTCGACGCTCATGCCGTCGCACCGACCCTCGGCGAGGATCGGGACGCGGTACACGCCGACTTCGCCCGTGCTGTCGCCGACGACGAGGACAGGCGACGACGGCGCGAACGAGATGCACGTGCACTTCAAGGTCACATCCTCTTTGGGAAAGTGGGTCAAAATCGGATCCAGAATCGACTGCTCGAGGTCCCAAATCTCGATGCGACCGTCTTCCGTGACGCTTCCAAAGATCGTCGCGTCGTTGGGGCACCAGCCAATGCCGTAGACGCCGTGGAAGAGGTCGACGGATCGAAAGTTGAGCATTTCGGTCGACTCGCCGTGGTGCCAGAGCTTGACGCTCCAATCGGCCGAGCACGAGAGAAACACTTGGTCCCAGAACGGCGACATTTGCACCGCGTAGACCGCCGCCGTGTGCCCGAAGTACGTTTCGAGGTACTGCTCGTTGTACGAACACGAGCACTTGTGGATGTTGCCGTCTTCCGTGCCCACAAAGTAGACGGAGCTGTCATGTTCCGCAAACGCAATGCAGTTGCCGCTCGCTTGGCGCGCAATGACACCGTCGATGCGCGCTTCGCTCCCAAGGAGCGGGTTGGGCACCCGCTTGAGCGTCATGAGGTCCGAGAAACTCAGTCCCTTCTTCATGCTCCACTCGGTCACACGCCCGTCGCTCGAGATGGACACGATGCTCTCGCCGCGCTCGCTGCCCTTGTGGACCCACTTGACCTAGTCGCATAGCACATGGATTTCGACAAAGATGCACAACTTGTCTATTGGGTGGTACCTGCCACACGGCGTCCAGGTGCGACCCGTTGTTGTTTCGCTCGTTAAAATCGGCTCCGTCTCGTCCTTGCGCGTATCGTAGAGCGCGACGACGCCGTCGTGGAAGCCGACCGCGAGCATGTACGGCTGGCTCCGGCTAAAGTCGATCGACGTGGCGCCGCACGGCAGCACGTAGATGCGCTCAGGGAACTCGGGGTTCTTGAGCGACCAAAAGAGCACGAGGCCGTCCGTGGTGTCGCCGGCCTCAAACTGCCCGTACGACACGGCGAGAAGGTCGTCGTTGACAGGGTTCCACGCCTACGCACGGTTGTTAGCATGCGCAGTGGACCACGCACAAGGTCGGACAAGACACGAGACGGTGCGGCCGTCGGTCAAGCTGCACCGAAACCCCCAGAGCTTTTCGAGCTCGGCCGTCTCGTACAGTGACGATGCGGCGTGGACTGCGCTCTTGGTGGGTGCGAGCCGTGGCGATGGCGTGTTAAGCGACAAGGTCGGAAAGTTGCGGTACAAAAGGTGTCGGTCGTGGTACACGTTTTGCTGCACCGCGCGCTCGAGAACCTTGAGGAGCTTGTCGAGCGCCGCTGAGGCAAGTACTTTGGTCGTCTTTTGACTCGCAATGATCTCGCCGAGGTCCACGTTGGTGTTGGCGGCCGAGTACGCGTTCTCGTGCTTGCCGCCGTCGTGCGACGAGTTGCCGTCCGAGTTGTTGCTGCTCCGCGAGATGATGTCGGCTTGGCTGCCGCTGTTGGAGATGTCACCGCTATTGCTGTTGATGTCGTTGGTCGACAAAACCGCCGTCGACGTGCTCTGGCCCGCCCGACGCAGCACCTGCGAGTTGCTCGTCGACGACGCGCCACTCCCGGCCTTGGATACGCGCGAAAAGTTGGTCTTCGAATCGTGCGCACCTGTACGTAGGATGAGACAACACCCACCGACACACACGGACCGCCGGTGTGGTGCCCCGGTGTACTCGGCTTGGCCTTGCCCACGGTGCGCTGCCGGGCCTTGAGGTCCAAGACCACGTCGGCGCCGTCGACCGCCAAAAGACAGCCGGGTGAGGCCAAGCTCGCATTGACGATCTCATCCACTTGGCGCGCCAGCTGCGCGTCGACGTTGTCGGCGTCCTGCTGCGTCTTGCTAGGGCGCGATGGGTCGGGGCCATCGTCGTGCTCGTTGCCTTGCACGTCGTCGTTAGTTTGCGTACTACGAGCGGTGCATCACGCACTACGATCTATCAACGTATAAAGACGCACCAGTCGAAAATGTCCCAATCGGTCGCGTTGCACGACACGTCGCGCGTCGCGGGTGGCGCGGTCATGACTTCCTTGGTCTTTTGCGCGAGCTGCAGCGTCTGCGTCCGGTTCTCGATGTAGTTGTCGCTGCCTTTCTTCGCACTGCACATCTAGTCCCAACACAAATATTGTCTGTTTCATTTTGGACAGAGTGGACATTGGCCTACCTCGAGGTACTTTTTGTTTTTGGTCACAATCACACCGTGCACAGGCGTGTCTTGGCCGACGCAGACACTCAGAAGCTCAAAGAGCATTATGGTCGGCGTCTCGGAGAAGAGGATAGTGACGGGCCCCGTGATGGACTTTTTGGGCGCTTCCTCCGACATGACTTTCCTAAAAGAGAGGTTCGCCTCATCGTTGGAGGCGGAAGCAGCCTCGCACCGCTCGCTGCTGAGGCCGTTGGTAGGCGCCACCTCCATGACGTCGTCGAGGCCAGAGACAAGGCCGCCATCGCCGTCGCCGTCGTCGGTCTCGAGCTTCTTGATGGCCACCGGGGGCTTTGCCGGTGGTGCGCTCGCTAAGATTGCATCCAGCGTCTTGGGTTGCTCGGGGGCCGACGCCTCGGGCGCGCCCGACGCAACGACAGACGAACTCGACGAGCTCGCGCCGTCGTCGGCTGCCTTCTTAGCCCGCCGCGCCGCCTTGTCGTGTGTCTTGATGCGCGTGTAGAGCAGCGACTGCGGTGTTACGTTGACGCCATCGAGGTACACTTGCGCGGCTTGGGACGCGCCGCCAGGGCCGCTCCCGCCCGCGACCTTGCGACTCGACTGCGAGAGCTGCGATGCGCCCATGACGCGCGAGCGGGACGCGGCCTCGTTGGCGCGCAGCTTGGAGCCTGCGATCTTCTTGCTCGCGCCAATGTTCTTGGTCGACGCCCGCGGGGCGCCTGTCGAGCTCATATTCCCGCGTCCTTTCAAGATACAAAATGGTGACTGCGAACACGCAACTTTTGTCGCACCAAGGCCTGCGTGGCTGTCCACTCTCTCTCAGAGAGCACGCGCTGTCGAGCGACACCGCTATCCAGTCCTGACTGCTATCCAATTATGGTCACTTGGATACGAGCTCTCTCGGATCCGAATTCGGTATCAACCACGTTCGCTTTCGCTTCTTGCCGCAAACCTGCGCGATGCCAAGGGTGTGGCTCCTCTTCGTTGCACGCCCTTAAAACCAACGTACATAAACGAGTACTACATCAATCCACAAAAGGCTGCAGCGCGGGAACCTGGAGGCGCGTGCATCTGATTCGGATCGTCGTCGGTGGACGAGGTGGACACGCACGCAGTGGCGCTCTCGACGTCAGATATGCATGACTCGCCAACCACATCGTCTCGTCGAGTGTCGTCGCGCCGTTGCGTGCGCTCGTTGGTCAATAGGTCGACCACCGAAGCCGCGGCCGTCGACAAATCGCTGCCAGTTTGCCGCTTTGATTACCAAATTGCAACCATATGGCGGCGTCACCAAGCGCCGTGCACCGCTTCACTTTGCCTTTTGCTCATGGCTCTCTTTTCGCCCCTCACTGTCGGCCGCCTCTCGCTGCAACACCGCGTCGTGCTCGCGCCCTTGACGTACGACGCGACTGCAGTCTCCATACTGCCGCTCACATGTGTGTGCTCGATACTAGGCGGTACCGCGCGGCCGCCCACGACGGCGACGACGAGAGCGTCCCGACGCCCATCATGGCCACATACTACGCGCAGCGCACGTCGCCGGGCGGTCTCCTCATCTCGGAGGCGACGCCCATCTGCCCGGAAGGTCGGCCCAACATTGCCGCACCGGGTATCTACTCGGCCCGACACGTGGCTGCGTGGCGGCCCATCACGGACGCGGTGCATGCCAACGGCGGCTTCATCTTTCTTCAAATGTGGCACGTCGGCGGCTCGTCGCATCCGGTCTTTGACAAGAAAGGGCGTGCGCCACCGTCGTCGGCGGCGGTGCAATTTGCGGGACCGCCCGTCAACACGCCGAGCGGCCCGCAGCCGCGCGTGGTCTCGCGCATGCTCTCGACGGACGAAGTGCAAGAGCTCATTTCGTTCTACGTGCGGGCGGCGACGCTTAGCATTGAAGCGGGGTTTGATGGCGTCGAGATCCACGGCGCCAACGGCTACATCCTCGAGCAGTTTCTCAACGACACGCTCAACAGCCAGCGCAGCGATCAGTACGGCGGGTCGCTCGAGAAGCGGATTCGCCTCACGGTGGAAGTCACCAAGGCCGTGGCCGATGCAATCGGCGCCGACCGCGTCGGTATCCGCCTCAGCCCCTTCTCGGCCATTAACGGCGCGTACAACTCGGACCCGATCGGAACGTACTCGGCGCTCCTTGAGCAGCTCAACCCGCTCGGCCTTGCGTACGTGCACCTTGTCGAGCCGCGCATTGCCGGTGGCTGGGACGCCGAAGTGCTCCCGGACCCGTCGCTCATCAACCTCAAGCCGTTCCGGTCCGTGTACAAGGGCGTTCTCATCGTCGCCGGTGGGTACGTTGGCGAGACAGCCGAAGCGGTCGTCGCCGAGGGCCAAGCGGACGCTGTGGCGTTTGGCCGTCATTTCATCTCCAACCCGGATCTGCCGTACCGTCTCCAGCACAAGAAGCCGCTGACGCCGTACAACCGCGCGACGTTCTACACCAAGGACCACGTCGGCTACGTACGTGTGCACCTTCTTCATGGATAATGATCGTACTATGCCAATAATGATGTAGACCGACTACAAGACGTGGCTCGAGGAAGAAGCTGAGAAGACGAAGTCGGCGTAAAGCCCGCGTGTCATTCGCATGTGCGTTTTGTCCAGGCGATTAAGGGCCTCGGATTTATTAACGTTGTGGATGGATCGTCGCTCGTTATGTAGACTTTATGTTGATCGCCGTCTTCCACTGTGGCGCTTAGTCACAGCTCTAGATGGCTACTCATGCTACAGTATAAAAGCACTGGCAAAGGGGCGGGTGCTGATGTCTTGAAGCTGTGGCGGAAGCGTCGCTTCAACATGAGACATGTCTGTATTTTGGCCAATCCAGTCCAAGATTTTCAAGCCACCAATCAGCGCACATGATTTGGAATAAAAGCCAGCTTTTTATCCAATGGCCTTACACCGCTTGGCGAGGCGGATTGGGCGGTGGGAAGTGCATTTGAACTTGTGGTCGGGCGCAGCTAAGTCGGCGCGACGAGGCGACCGTCCGTGGCATAAGGCCGCGCATGGCTGCCACTGCACGTTGGCAAGTCATGCGTCGTCGTCTTCACCCTAGTTGCACGTCGAGGCCATTGCGCCCTCCCATCAGGCGACTGCCTATAGTGTGTAGCATTCGTTGTCCTCACGGACGACGCGTTCCAGATGATCGTACGAACAGATAAATGACGGGATCCCCGGTTGATTGATCTCACATTTACTACCTTTTTACTACCATTGATCTTAGTATGATGGAACGATTGTCTTTTTACGTACTAGTTCTTGCGTACTTAATGTCCAACACGCGTCGTAGATTGCATGCGTGGTCTTTCTTAGACGTACGTGTCGTGGGTCTTGTTGGTCAGCGGCGTGTTCTCGTCCGCGGCCTTGACGTCGCTGTCGTGCTTCTTGAGAAAGTTGTCGGTGACCCAGAACTGCACGACGTTCATCGTGACGGGGCACGCGATCATGACAAGGACGAGCTCGAGGCGCGGAAAGTCCGAGAGCGGCTCAAAGAGCACGTTCGCGAACGCATTGATGGGGCGCTCAAACCACAAAATGACGCGGCCGATGATGAGCTTGGTCATGATGATGATGACGAGCCACACACCGAGCTGGATGAGCCAGACGCTGTCGCATGCATGTATTAGTATGAGGAGAAGATAATGCAGTTGGCCGTACCGCGTCTGGATCGGGTTGCCGTAGAACCCCGGCACTTGCAGCGCTTTCCAGTGAAAGTGGCGCTATCAGTGCATCATGATGAGCTTTGGGTCGGCGGCAGAGACTACGAAGCCAATCGACGTACCGCCAGGAGCACGGAGCAGTGGAGGAGGAACCAGTTGAGCGCGACGCCAAAGCTCGTGTCGAGCGTAAAGTTGATAAAGTAAAAGGCGCACTACACATCCATGGGCACGCGATCGATCGTCGTATCAAACCTCATCCGCGTTTTCCTTCTCGGTCGAGTATTGCACGAGCAAGATGGCGATCGTGAGGTTCGCTGCGTGCGCCCAGCCTGCGCCGATGCACTGCTTGGACGCGTCAAAGAGCCACACCTATCGCATGCGCCATGAGCACGTGCGAGCCTTCGTAGGTCGTACGCGGAACGGGCGCTGCGGATGCTCAAAGTACCGCTTGCAGACGAGCACCGACATGGCGATGAGGCCAAGCGAGACTTGGATGAAGGTCTCGAAGGGCCCGCTGAGGAGCTTGCACTCGTTGGCGACGATCGACGTCGTGTTCGCGGCCATCGTTGTGCTCGACGTGTAGAATCCTGGACTAAGAACTCAAGGCCACGTGAATGAGCGACTCTTGAGAAAATCTTGGCTCTTTTATTCGCGTGCTACGCGCACTATACTACGTTTTTGTATGTGGAATTGATTGTTTTAAAAACTTGAAATGCGAGAGTGGTTGTGGCATGTCAGTTGGATGCGCTGGATGCACAAATTTTGCCTTGCGCGAAGGGGATGGGCGCAACCCATCGCGCCAAGAGAGGGTCCAGCTGTGGCGTCAGCGGCCAAGCATTGCTCCATGGCCGCCACAACCTTGCTGCACAAGCCTTCGGGCGCTCCTTGGTTCCGATGCCGTCGGGAAGACAGGCCATGGTCCTCGAATCCGAGATTCTTTGAAATATTCTCGCCCGCTGACTCCCACCGGGATCCATGATACGGAGAGGTCCTCCACTGCAACGGCGTGCACACGGCGTCATGTTACCATTACTACTCTGCCGGCGCAATCGACGACGACGGCGGCGGCGGGCACGTGACGAGCGCGGCGGCCGTTCGCCGGCGCCGCTTCTTCATCGCCGGCAGTTGCGTCCACGTGTTGGCGATCGTGTCGTAGGCGTAAAACTCGCGCGACCAGACGCCCTTGGAGATGCCACCGAGCGCATAGATGGTCGTGCCGGCCACGTCTGCGTCAAAGCAGTACCACTCGGGGAGCGGGAGCGCGGCCATTGTCACGTACGTATTCTCGCTCGGCGAGTATCGCACGACGGACCGGCCGTGGAGGAGCACAAAGATGTACTTGCCGATGGTGACGGCCGAGCACGGACCAGCAATTGGCAGCGGCGCCTTGCGGCTCCACGTGTTGGTCGACGGGTCGAAGCACTCGACGACGTTCGAGTACCACTGCTTGTCCTCGTGGTCGTGGTCGTCGGCGTTGCCGCCAAAGCGTAGAGCTTGCCGTCGTGCGCGGTGGCACCGAGGAGCCGGCGCGGCACCTCCATGGGCGCCAGCGTCGCCCACGCGTTCTCACGCACGTCGTACTTTTCGAGGACGGGCGAGCACTTGGAGCCGTTGACCCAGCCGCCGACGCAGTAGATGCTCGCGGTCTCGGGGATGGAGACGACCGCGAGTGCGTGCCGGTACGTGGTCATGGGCGCAATTTGCGACCACGTCGCCGTCTCCACGTCGAGCTTCTCGCACGTCGCAAGGTTGGAGCGGAAGCCGCCGCCGCCGAGCACGAAGAGCTCGGTGCCCACACCGACGGCGCCGTGGGACCCGCGGTTCTCGAGCATGGACGGGACGCTTTCCCAGCACTTGCGCGCAAACGAGTAGCGCTCGACGGACCCGAGCGTCTTGCCGCAGAGACGACCACCCGTGACGTAGTAGTACAGGTGCGTCGTGTCGGCCGCAGGCACGGACGCCCCGACGTCGGCGACGTACGCCATGTTCACCGCGCAGTCCTTGATGTGGCGGAAGAGCTGGTTGCGCGAGGTAAACGTGCTGGCACCGCACGTCTCGCACGTGAGAACGGGCGCCGTCTTCTGGATCTTGGCGGGCGGCGGCGACGACATGGCTCTTTCCTCTCAAGGGACGACGAGGCTCAATTTGGTTGGCCGCAGTATATGCTACGTGCTGATTGGCCCGCTATGGTATTTGCGACATGCATGACGTGGCACGCAGAGCTGTCAGTGTTGGTTTGGATTCATTTTTGGCTTTGGCCAGTCGAATGAGCTCGGAGAAGAGGAGCCGCAACACCTGCTCGCCACGAACAAGACATCGCTATTGGTGTTGAAAACTTGGTACTTTGCGGTAGCGTCTTGGAGAGTACTCCATGCAGATTTGTTTGCCACCGCATCTTGGCCGCTCGAAAGGCCGAAACTTCGACGACGCAGCGCGCAATGGCCTCGACCATCAGCACTGACAGCTGCTCGCACCGCTTCATCGCCGACGCTGCAGTGTAAACGCCAGGGAGAAGGCAATTGACAACCAGCAACAACGGTGACCTCGCCCTTACCCGCCCTTACCCTAGCCCTAACCCTACCCCTAACCCTAGCCCTATGAATCGGCGCATCCCATCGATCCATCAATGCATCGCAGAAAACGTACACGTTCAAAGGTTATATATTGGGTTCATTGCGTTTATGGTCGGGAGCGTGGTCGCATCAAATGGTGTACGCGTCTTAGTACGGGTACGGCACCGCGATGAGGGGCAAGTCGAGGTTGCGCAGGCGGACGCACGCGAGGAGGCGCTCGGGAAGCTCTTCCATCGTCACGCCTTCCAACACAAAGCCGAGGTCGATGACGAGGTCCTGCGAGTAGCTGAGGAGGAGCCGGCAGAGGCCCGACGCGACCGTGCTGCTCGCAATGTCATAGTCGATTTCACAAAAGTTGGAACCGCGCGAGTAGCGCTGTGTGACCTACACACCGTACTAACAAGAACACTGCTATCGTCGACTCCATACCTTGTTGCCAAGAATTGTTGGCGTGTTGCCAACGCCTTCGCGCACGGCCCAGTTCCCTTCCAGGACGCGCGGAATGAGCTTGAGACGATTCGAGCGGAACGAGCTGTCATCGCTAGACGCCGCCACCCATGAGACCGGGAGGCATTCTCAAGCACTGCGCGCGCACCCATCGAAAAAATCGGCAAAGAGCTCGGTCCACGGCGCCTTTTGTGCAAGGAACGCGTCGTCTTCGGGTGTAAAGTAGAGCACGAGGCTACCAAGCACTCCATCAGGAATCGATCCAAAAGAGGAATACGATCGATCCACTCATCGATCTGGATACCACCCACCTGTAGAACGGCGGGCCCGGGAACATAAAGTTGACGACAAAGTAAAACTGCGACGGCGCGACGCTGCGAAAGCTCTTGAGACCAAACGAATGCATCTTTTTGGTCGTCGACGAGTACGCCTCGACACCCACGAGCCGAAACACTTGCACCTCTACGTATTTCGAACGATCCCATCGACCGCCATAGCATTATCGTCGTCTCGTACCGGACGGGAGCTTGACCTTGTCGATCGGGTATTGCGGGCCGCGCACGCTAAAGTTGCAGGCCTCGGGCTCGGCCCAGTACTACGAAAGGAGCCATGGACACTCGATCAAGATGCGACAGGAGAATACCATGTCGGCGAGTGCGTACGAGAGCGACGAGGCGTGCACAAAGGGCGAGAGCAGCGGTGTGTTGTCCTCGGGCAGCATCGGCTCGCACGGCGCCGGCGCGCTAAACTTGCGCTTCATCGAGACGTACTCGTGCGCGTGGAAGGCCGTGCGTAGCACCACGAGAAGATTGAGCAGCTCGACATGGTACGCGTGCATGTATTGGAGCGAGAGGCCGACGCGCGAGTCAAGCCACCCTTCGGGGTTCGTGTGCGCGATCATCGACACGTAGCAGCCGTTGGCCGTGCCCCGGGGCGGTGCAATCACAAAGCCTGCGCCGAGCATCGAGGCTCGCACGACGCGCTCGTCGTGGTGTCTACATCAACGTCAGCCAGGAAGAGAGGTATACAATGGAAATTGACCCGACGAGGTCGTGCGTCGGCGGGCAGTCGTTGTGCTGCACCGAGTGGAACCAAATGATGTAGGACCCATCGGGTTCTTGGTGCCAGTAGCGCAAGAGGCAGTAGTCGCGCGCCTCGACCACGACCGGCCACAGCGATTGCGGATTGATCTTCCAGTACACAACGTCGGTATGGGCGTCGATCGCTTCGAGCACATACGACCGCTTGAGGAGGCAGTTGGACTTGTAAACGGACTGTCCATCTACAAAAGCATACATCGTCGCGTCCGGTGAGGCTACATCCAAGGAAGGGCACCTGCAGTAGCATGTCCAAAACGCGCTGGCTGCTCGCGGGAATGTGCAGCGAGGCCTTCATGGGCGGCCATGCCGGCGACGGCACCGGATGCGAATACACGCGCAAGTTGGAGTTTTGCGTATACAAGCTCCAGCGGTCGAGGTCTTGGAGCCATCGAAATTGCTTGAGCATCGAGCGCGGAAGCGACCCGAGCGACGGACGCCGCACAATCTTGGGGGGCGGTAGAATGATCGCGCGGGTCGACGTCGTCTTGGGCGTCTTGGAGGGCGACGTCGGCGGCGACTCGGTCGCTTCGTCCAAATCGCGGTCTTGGGCGAGGTACCAATGCACGTATTGGCGCCAATGGGCTTCGGCCTGCGCGATGCACTCGAGGATGCTGCTGCGCCACCACAGCGCTGTCTCAAGCGACTCGGCCGCGAGCGACAAGGGCGCGACCGAGCTCTTGGTGAGGAGCGTGCTGGCGCTGGCCGTGAGCGCCGCGGACGAGACTGCTGCAGCGCCCACCCCGACGAGGCCAATGCCTGCGAGGCCACCCGTGAGAACCTAGACAGAAAAGACCATACTAGGACCAAGCACCGATGAGGAGGGCTCATGAACGTACGACTGCCGTCGCAGCGGTGGCGGCCGCGGCGAGTTTCTTCAATCGCGCCTTCTTGATGTTGGCTTTCGGATCAAAATCAAAGTCAAAGCCGTCACCGGACGTGGTGCCCGGCGTCGCCAGCGGGGTCATGGGCATGGCTTCGTTGTACTCCTCCGACTCTTCCGAGTACGTGCTCGAGTAGTGCCGGATGCGGAAGGTAAAGAGTCGCTTCGACTCCATGAGACTCGGTGACTCGCGCACTTCATCAACCGTGCAGCCCGGCCCGAGGGCGTACCAGCCTACGCATGGACAGCCATGTCGTCATGTCGTCATGGAGGACGGTCCATGTACCTCGGGGCTCGCGGTCACCCTTCTTCCGAAAGTAGCAGAGGATATGCGTCCCGTTGGGCGCCGATCGGATCATAAAGTACCGCTCGCGCCAGAGGTTGACGTGCTGGCCCTTCTTGCGCAGGTAGCCCTCGATGCGGATCTCGCCAAGCGACGCGACATCTTCGCCCGCTGGCACCGACCGGCCGCTGGAGGATGCACCGCGCAGTGCACGCTCGAGGCGCATCTCCTCGACGAGCACCAGCAATTTGGGCTTGATCCAGTCGCGGAGGAGACCTTCGACTTGCAGGTCGGCGTCCATGTCGGAGGCTTGGCGTGCGACGGCGGCGCGGGCCTCAGCTTCCTTGGTCAATGACTCTTTCGCCATGTCTTCGCAGAACTTGGAAATGCGCGCGGCCATCTTGGCTGACACGGTCTTCTCGGGCAGCATGATGACCTTCCAGAGCTTGACGAGCGACGCCTCGAGGATATGGATCCCGCTCTCGCTGCTCGCATACCGTGCGGTGAAGTAGTCGTTGCAGATCATGTCAAAGAGCATCGAGATGTCCTCGTTGTTGCTGCTTGCATCTGGCGACGGCGCCGACGACTCGCCGAGCTCCTGGCCATGGAAGCTCGCGGGCCGCCGGTTCAGGCGCACGGGCGACTCGGTCGCGGCCGGTGGCATCGACGGGCTGCGCCGGGAGAACGGGTCCAGCTTCGCGAGCTCGGACGAGCTGCGTCCTCGGTCCAGCGTCGCCGGCGCCTTGGGGGAGGTGGACGGGAGCATCCGGCAAGGTGGCGGTGGCTCTGGGACCCACGTTCCATTGGCCAAAAATGAGATACTTCTGCAATATTATCCAATCCCAAAGCATTTAGGTCTTTTGCGCGCGGGGATTGGACAAAATCACGTGGCACGATCTTCGTATACTTCATTCCGCGAGCTCTTGGGCGTCGTCATCATGACCCAATGCGCTGCGTGAACATGCGAGCAGGCGGTCGAAGAGAAGCGGTCGGGGCAGTGGAAAGCTGCCAAAAAACACACTCTTCCTGTGTAGGTAGTACCAGAGCGGTGCCATGCCCGAGGTTGGATCCTCGCTTGGACCATTAAACGTGCTTCTCTCACCTGGCTACGGAGGATATCTTGGTGCACTAGAAGAGGTCAACGACGACTTAATGCATGTTGGATTTGGCAAGTACTATCGATATCTCTTTGGTCTACGCGTGGCGCTGGCGAAACTCGACAAAGTCGTCGTTGCGCGTGATCGGGTTGAGTTTCAGATGGGCCATGTCGATGCGGTGCGACCGGAACGACGCGCCTTCGTCACTTGACCGGTGGAAGATCGCGCCACGCTTCTCCTTGGAGAAGGTCACGTCCGGGCTGTTGGAGAGGTACCGGAGACCGGCAAAGGTCGACATGCCCGTGGCAAACGTGATGATGCCGATGATCGGGTACGTCGCGGGGTCGGAGAACCACGTCTTGATGACGGACTGGGTCGCGCGGGCAGTGGTCGAGGCCATGGTAGTTCTTGGAGGTGGTGGTGGAGAGGATCAAGCAAATGCTGGAATGAAGCGAAGAAGGCGCGCCAAAATGACAAAGATCGTCTTCAAAAACACGCAACGAGCAGAGAAACACCGTGAAATTGACACGCGCGTTTCGGTTTGTATCCGGATGGCCAAAGACTTCCATACAAATTTGTATTGATTTGACCCTTCGCGTCCGGATAGACGTGGCGCGCACCGTGTCAATGCAACTGCGAGTGCAAGTCGCGTGTCTTTGGTGTTGCGATCTTCCGCAGGTCCATTTTGCCGTCCGTTGAAGTCGCTCATTCCAGCATTTGCTTGATCCTCTCCACCACCACCTCCAAGAACTACTATGGCCTCGACCACTGCCCGCGCGACCCAGTCCGTCATCAAGACGTGGTTCTCCGACCCCGCGACGTACCCGATCATCGGCATCATCACGTTTGCCACGGGCATGTCGACCTTTGCCGGTCTCCGGTACCTCTCCAACAGCCCGGACGTGACCTTCTCCAAGGAGAAGCGCGGCGCGATCTTCCACCGGTCGAGTGACGAAGGCGCGTCGTTCCGGTCGCACCGCATCGATTTGGCCCATCTGAAACTCAACCCAATCACGCGCAACGACGACTTTGTCGAGTTCCGCCAGCGCCACAACTAATATTCTATTAAATGTATCGACTTCAAACTATTGATGCTTTGAGCACGTCACTGGTACTTTCTAGTCGTAACGGCGTCTACCTGGATTTAGATTTCCTCGAGCTGATTTCGCCAGCAATGAGCGTGCGCTGCCCTAGTCCAGGACGCGCAGCCGGGAAAATGCCGCAGCCGCCGCAAACAAGCGCAGTCTCTGTGCGGCCCAAGTCGTGTACGGCCACGAGCATGCGCATTCGAGATCCGGACGCGACCATGTACCAGACATCCTGCGCGCAGCGGAGCTACAACCAGTACCCTTTTCAGTCGACGTCAGGGACGACAACACCCCGGCGGCGCCACCTAAAGACGCCACAGACCATCTAGTATGCACCGAACACCTCGCAAATGAAGAAAAGCTACGAGTTCTTATAGCTTTCAGCCGACGCCAGGACGTACCAAGACGGGCCACTGGACGCACACACAGCGACCCATGTCTCCAGCGCCTGCAACGCCCGCCCACGTCGTCGTGCAGCACATCTCCAACGAAGCCCACCCGACGGTAGCGTCGTTCAGGTCATTTGTCAATAATGAACGAGCGTAGGTCAAGGCGTCCGATATGGCTCACGTGCAGGCGTGGCTGACCTCGCTCGAGACCGAGGTGCACTCGTTCACATCGTACTTTCTCTTTTGCGAGATGAAATTCCGGGAAACCAACGTCCTTGCAACGGGCAAGGAGACGCCCAACCACTTGCGCACGGCCGTGGCCTTTCACTGCCTGCAGCAAGCATCGTGTATCTTTGGGCGCTACCAAAGCGTGCTCGACACCATTTGCCAGTAGCCAACTTTTGCTTCGACCACCGATATCACGACCCATTTCGTAGAAGTCTGGGCAACGCGATCTACAAGGATTATGACGAGCTCTCGGGCCGGGGACAGCCGATTTCGGCCACGCGCTGCTACGCGGACGGCGTCACATTCTTCGACCATTGCAAGGCACAAGATCATGAGGCAAGAGAACTGCGCGACCGTACGTTGTGGAGCAGCCGCATGCTTGCAAGATCAAAGTATATGTCCATGTAGAAATCACGTCCCTCGAACAGGACAAGCGACGACTGGAACGAAAGCTGCAGCTCGCACTGACACACGTCGAAAACCTCACAAACCGCAGCACGACCCCTGAAGCACCGTCAAGTACCAAAAGCGCTGGGCGGGACGTCGAGCAACTCGGTACCATGGACAAGGTGCGCACGGTCCTCAGCATCCTCAAGAGCCTCGAGCCGACGAGCAAGAAAAGGGTTCATTTTGTCTATCAAATGTGTGCGATGTACAGACTTTCTGTAGATCCTCACAGGGCTCTTGCAGTCGGCCGAGAACCCGTTGGACGCAGACGCCATGGCGGACGTGATCCAGTACATGAACCGCGCGGAAGCAGCGAAGCTCACGCATCATTTGGCGGTCGAGTTTGGCCACGCAGTGTGCGTCACCCGTGCGTGTTGATAGGTGTGTGGATGGATCGCTCTAGGTCGAGCGTGGTGCCGACGGTCGACCCCCTAAAAGGCAAATTGCAGGTGCTTCTTGACGCGTATTGAAAAATGAAGCGACTTCTGGTCATGTAGAGCACGTTCGAGTCCAAAGAGGTCCTGGAAGCCGAGCGGGCGAGCTACGAGCAGCTCATTTTGCTCCGAAACGAACTAGCCCATGCCAAAGAAACGTACCTCGAAGACATTCGCCGTGAGCGCGACCGCAACGAGATCCTCACGGACGAGCTCAAGGAGCTCATGAGTCGCCACCACGAGCTCGCGCACCACTCATCCCATAAGCGGTCGTCGGTCGAGATGGCAACGCAAACCCAAGATGATCCGACCGCGTCTCCATCCTCAAGCAACGTCGTGCGCAAGACGTCTCTTGCCCAAGTGGTTCAAATATAATCCAGAAGGATGCGGCGCAGAAGAGACTCAAATGTATGGTAGGCGCCAGTGGTTCGCTTCCAAGGCATCTCAGAGCTTATTGCGGACGCCAACTTTCTCCCCAAGCACATCAAAAAGATCTTTGCGAAGCGCAAGCCCATGGTTGTCCACGAGCTCTGCGCAACCATTGCCACGATTTACCAAGCCAAGATGCTGCAGGACATTGCCGACGACGTCGCGGGGCGAAGCCGCGAGTCGCTCATTGAGTTCATGCATGACCTCTACGTGCTCTACCACGGGCTTCGCGGCCTCGCGATTGGCCAATTCATCTGCATTGACGCCGGCGTCCGCAAGTTTTGCGAGGTTTTTCCCACGAAACCAAATCGAACTCGAGTGAAATCGACTAGAAAAATGCACGCGTCCGCGTGTTTGGGATGCTCCTCGGCTCGTCGACCGGACCGTGCGCCACGTACAAGTCGATTGGCGCGACGCACCAAGCGGTTGACTTTTATCTCCACGTTGTGGGTCTCATCTTCCAGAGTACCTTAACCCCTACCCCTAAGCTCTACGCTCTAACACCATGTCTAGTTGGCCATTACACGCACGAGACGCTGGCCGCGACGAGTGCCGCGCGGGTGCTGAGTCAGCGCCTCGGCGACGGCATCGTTGGCAGTCCAAGTGCAACGTCGATTCCGCTGTCGCAAGCGCTGAACGTGGTCGCGTCGGCCTTTGCCTTTGAGAAAGGCGCCGAGAACGCGTGCTACGAGACGCTCAAGCATCGCGCGGACGACGGCATCGAGATCGACGAGCTCCTCGAGCTCGTGATGCGGCATTGGTTCAAGCTCTTCAACGCCCAAGTTGACTTTATGCACACACTTTTTGAGAGCATGGACCGCGAGCAGAACGGGATCATCGAGTTCCCCGAGTTTCAGCTCCTCGCGACGCAGCTCGACCCACAAATGCACGAGCGGGACTGCCTCGCGCTCTACTCCAAGATTGCAGGAACCAACAACGTCATTGATGGCGGCGCGTTCGTCCTTGGCATGGTCCAGCACCAGCAGCGAGTGCTCCAATCCGCTCGACATACCGCGATGCGCGTCCAATCAACCAAGGGCCACCGGCACTCGGAGACTGGCGTCAAGCCACTGCGCGTGCTTCGTCACAATAGCTTTTACCGATCGTCGCTGACCAAGGTGACGAAGGCGCGCCCGCCGACAACAGTCGAGCTCCATACGAATATTATTGGCCGACTGCGGTCGCTCTCGCTGCGGGCCGTCGACGCGCCGGTCAAGAACGTCGAGAGTCGGCCCATCCGCGGATCCATCTCGAATGAAAATTGGAATGCCTCGATCCACGACATCCTTGCGCGCCGCCAGCCGTCGTCCAGTGGTGCGATTGAGGAAGACGACGGCGATGACACCGATGACAACGACGACAACAACGACGACGACGACGCCGACGACGACACCGACCACCAAGGCGCGTAGCCAATAAAACTGAGCTATCGTTGCGTGGTGGAGCCAACTCGACTCTATTGTTTCAATTGTTTGCTTGCCCTTGCAGGAACGGCCGTCGTTGTTGTTGTTGTTGAAGTGGGTCTTCTATTACTATAGATAAAACTATGCTAAATAAAATTGTCGGACTTTCTTCGTTGTGTGTACTCGGGTGAGGGACTTGGTTTAGGCAGGCGGAGGCAGGAGCGCGATCCGCGGGACGAGGTGACGTCGCGGCCACTCGTGTTGGGCGAGGAGCCGGAGAAGCCGACGAAGAGCAGGCTGCTCGGGCTCTTGTACGAGGCTGTGGTGCAAGTGCAGTTGAGCGACGCGTGCCGCCTTGACGGCAATCGTCCATGGACTTGGCAGCGGTAGGTCGGCGCGAAAGACGCGATCGTTCCGGACTCGCCAGACGTTGAACCAGACGCAGGCACGGAGCACGGGCCAGAGGTAGCGGAACGCGGCTTGGTGCATGTTGGACGCCGTCTTGGGCGTCGCGTAGAGGTAGCCGGAGAGCGTAGTCGGCAAGGTCACGCCCAAAGGGACCGTGACGGCGTGAAGCGTGCTCCACACGTCCTTGATGAAGTCGCAGTCTACGAGGAAGTGGCGGTACGTCTCGTGCGCGGGGCAGAAGAGGCACGCTTGGTCGGCCCTGTCGAGCCAGTGCAAATGTGCGCGGAACTTGACCGCGCGGAGCATCACTTGGTAAACGAAGTCGGCGTACTTGGGTAAGATAGCGTCGGGTAGCCG